GAGAGAGAGAGAGTGAGAGATATAAAGAGAGAGCGAGAGACAGAGAGAAACACATAGAGAGTGAGAGACATAGCAAGAACGAGAGACAGAGAGAGACTGAGAGAGAGAGAGAGAAAGAGAGAGAGAGAGAGAGAGAGAGAGAGAGAGAGAGAGAGCAAGAGGGAGAGCAAGAGGGAGAGAGAAAAAGAGAGAGAGAGAAGTGCAGAGAAAGAGACAGACAGGGGTACAGAGAAATATTATTTTATCCCTATCATTAGAGATGTTTACTCCAAAAAAGCTGTTGAAGGCGGGGTGGGGGTGGGAGCGGCTGTAGTCGAATTGCTATCTGTGTCTGAGTTAAAAATACAGCTACAATTTTTGTGACTTTGTATTTTTTTTATTACCAAACCGTGTTGTGGCAAGTCGGGGTGGGTGTTTAATAATATGTGAGGCATCGTGGTGAAATCAGGCGATCGTCAAAATAATCGAAGTGAAGAAATTAGCATTTTTCTGGTTTGTGGATTTTTATAGAATTTTTTTTTTTTTAGGGGGGGGGGGGGTTCTTTACACCTTTCATTACCATTAAAAAACACATTTCAGTGTGGATTTTACTGAAAAACGTTGATCAAAGGCACAAAAAGTACACATTTTCAGTTTCCACGCACTCGCATGCTAAGGAAATAACTAATCTTTAGCTGCCATTTTCTTACTAATCTTACCTCTGAAACCAGGTGACTCTCACCTCCTTCATTCGCAAATATTTCAACTTATATTCAAGATAAATTGATTTTTTTTCATCAAAAGCAAGACAAACGAACAAGCTCTAGGATGAAACCAATAGCTCTGCACGTCAAAAAAACTGACGAGAGCCTGATTCCACCGCGTCGAGGCACATAATATGCCAATACATGAATCATTAGTGAACCGGAGAATGTATGTCATTGCATACAAAAGAAAGTACCCCTTTTAGGTAAGGGGGAAAAGGGAGGAGGGGGGGGGGTAGTTTCACACCCCAGTAAACACAGTAGTCGTATCAAAGTTGAGACATTTTGAACTAAGGATGAACTTTCAGTTTTGTTTGAGACTTCGTGTTTTTTGGTTGTTGTTTTTTTGACGGGGAGAGGGGTGTTCCTTCTTTTGTTTCGTTTTTGCTCTCATTTTAAAAGAAGTTAGTTTAATTTTAGTAAATGTTTACTGGCACTTTTGATACAAATAGAGATGTCATATGTGCGCCAAAGATTAGAGGTTATACTATAGAGTAAGGAACACAGAAAATATGGTATAGAAATATGGACCATAGGCGTTTGACAGAAACAAGGAAGAAACAACACAAGACTATCGGCCAATCTCACATTATATTACTTTGCTTTTGCTTTTGTTTTCTTTGCGCAATGTAACCTAGCTGTACTCAACGGTACCTGTAGGATGGTGACCGACTCTTGGCTTGTTTTTTTTCAGTGTCTTATAAATATGTCTCGCTGGAATAAATTTTAATTTGATTTTTTCGTCCACTCAACTTTTTTCAAGAATATGATGATTAATAATCCCCCACGTTCGAGGAGGTTTTTTTGTTTTGAAATTTTCTTTGAAATGGAAATGAAGAAGGAGAGCTTACTCCACTTTTATTCCAACATGAGAAAGCTTTTACCAGCCTGGAAGTGAAAGGCATAAACAGACATGATTAGCGACTGGGGGTCGATGGAGACGGCGAGAAATTGGCACCGACGGACCCAATGTTCTTCTTCTCTGTGCCCTTTCTTCCTTCTACACCAGTGTTCAACTCCTCAATTCCCATTCGTCCTCTTGTGCAGTTTTCTTATCCCATATCTTTAATTATATACGCTGCCCCCTTTTTACCCTCAATGTCAAGTAACTGAAGGATGTAACTCGAGATTTACAAAACACAAGGTTCAAAGACAACACCCAACACGATACCTGTACCTTATCTCTCAACACCAGCGCCCTCCTTTTGAAAGGTAAAAAAATCCCGAATGTTTTTACACAAACTAAGTGAAAGTAAAACATAGATTCCACAGCACCCATATGCACCCCAGCCGCCGCCTCTGCTACAGTTTTACTTTCCATTCCTCTGCGCAGAATTTTTTTTAAAGTTTAACCTTATCTACCTTGAGCTCTGAGGGCCTTCTTAACAAAACAAGAAACAAAGGTATAAGGCGTGTTTATGAGATGGATAGCGCCAGGTGAAAGAGGATGGAAAGGTGTTATAAACACCCGCGTAGATAAACATCAGGAGCAAAGGTGGGGAGGGGGTGGGGCGACAGTCTTCTACTCTGTGTTCTACTTCCTCAATTATTAGAAAAGGGGCACCAGGCCAGTGCGACTATAGACAGCCATCAACGCGCAGGGGAAGGGTGGGGGAGTACGGGGTGTGTGGGGAGGGGGTAGGGGAAGGTTGGTGAGGGGCTAAAAAATGCCTAATTTATTCTAGCTCTTTTCAGCTATAGATTATTGGGGAAAACTAATCACGTATCTGGTTCTGAGTTGATCTGATGATGCCAAGAAATTTATATAAATGAAGGAGAATATACGGGTATTGATTCTCTGTGCATGTATGTGTGTTCTGAGTGTTCTTGGATGAGTACAGTTAGGAAAACAATTCTTTAATCATTATTTGTCGTGCCATGACCCTCGAAAGCGTTTGAATTTTATTTCAATAAAATTGGCAGTAGAGGTTTTTAAGTTGACGGTATAGGCTATATTGTATTCGAAGCAGAAGTCCTGATTTCGAATGTTACTAGTCAATGTAGATATGAGCACTATTCAATAATTGTTAAAGATATGAACAGTGCCGCACGGTTCCTTCGTATTCTAAAGTTCACATTTTCAAGAGGAGTGAAACATTAGAAACAAACAAGAATTCTTGTATTTGCTTCTCTAAACGAAACGTTTTGTGTTGAAACAATCTCTTTAACAGTATGCCAAAAATCTGACAGTTGGAACAAAGTTCATAAACATTCAGGTATATTCGGATATGTAGTAATAACTCAAACCCAGTATTGCGACGGCTACAAGGAAAAGATAATGTGTCGAAACTGTTTGAAGTTCAAAACAGGGCAATGAGCGCAATCGCAATTAACGAACAGAATACTAAAAAGCAGGAAAAACTGAGTGTGAACACTACAATCTGTTCTTCCCTGCGGGACAACAGTAATAATATGAGGTAATGATTAAAATTTGGGGATAACACTCACTCGATAGGATTCACAGAATAGTATCAGTGACTATTATTTAAATTAAGGCCTAATGCCATAATGTTGATTGCTTAAAAGAATCCAGGTTTAATTGCAAGTTGTCCTCACTGAACAATTGGTGGTAAATGTAAATTTCGATCACTCATTCTTAGAATAAGTTCAAAGAGTCATGTGCGCTTGACGTCTTTGAAACCCAAATAGATTCCACGGAGTTTAGCGACCTCGGAAGTGCGCACTAAGGGTGGAGGGAGGTTAAAGTTTACTTTTACCGACCCAGAAACAAATAGGTAAAAGCCCCCACCCTGCCGTCCCCACAAAGCGAGTTTCATACAGTATGGAGTACTGGAGGCAAGGCCATGGCCGACCGCTATAATTATGCGGGTTATAACAGGTGGAATACGTGCTCTCTGACACATCAGCATTGGTGGTGTAGCAGATATGCTGTGGGGGCTCTCGTGGCCTAGACGCTAAGGTGTTCGCCTCTCATTCAAAGGTCCCGTGTTCGAATCCGGGTAGTGATCGAAACATTTTCTTCTCTAAAATTGTCTCCTTTCACCTCCTTGCCTGCTCTCTGGTAATGTTCTGTTATCTACTTTCGTCACCAATTTCTGCCCCCACCCCCTCACCTCCTTACTTTGCCCCCTCCTCCGGGCTCCTGACTCTTTCTGAAGCCTTTCCACTGCTTCTCATTGGCTCCTTCTTACTGCTGTCTTTCAGCCACACCCCTGATCTTCTGGTAGGAAAGATCTACTCCTAGCCTTCTCGGACAAGGGTGAACAAAAATCTTGGATGTCATGTGTGCAGGTTGCGCAAGTTTAAGATGCCTTGGTTGTCTAAAAATCGATAAGAGTAGGCTTCGGCGCCACCCGGGCAACATTAGAATGTCCTACCAACTGAAAATGTCCCGCTCTCTCTTATGACCTTATGCAGTTGCGAGCGCCGTAAAACACTTGCCAAAAAGAAAAAGAAAAGAAGATATGCTCTCAACCAGTCCCAAAGAGAAGCTGTTTGATAAATTCCATTTTAGGGAGATTTTTTAAAATTGACTCTAATATCATTTGTCTGTTTACATGGTGGTTGTCCTGTCGACCTGGGTTGACCCTCATAGGTAAAGTCGCGGGAGTCCTCCTCTTACATAAAAAAAATTAAAATTCTATCGAGTAGGGCACACAAATCAGATTCCCGCTTAGGATAGTCATTCTAAATGAGTATATCAATTCTTTTGCTGTGATGGTGTATCCCTTTAAGTCCTCTTTGGCCAGAAAAGCTGGCCACCTGCAAAATGATCTTAATTAACATTATGTTGATATTAGTGCAAGCAATTTACACCCCCTCACCCCCTGCCCATTTTGAAATTCTCCACCCTTACCTAGATTTATATTTTATAAATATTTTTGTCAGAAGATGTTTCCGCATACTCTAAGTTGTCTACTCTGCCTCCGCTAAAAAGAAGAATATCTAGTCTGAGGTATGAGCGTAAAATGGATAAGGGCAAAAGAAAAGGGTGTTATGGCAGAATGAATAAATGAATCAATGAACCTGCGGGGTAGGAAAATCAAAGTATATCACTGTGGGTATACTTTCTTCTTCTTTTTAACCCGTGAAATGAGGTTTTAGTCTCGTTCTCATTCCTCTATGTAAATTTTCCGAGCCCAGAGATTTTTTGTCATAGAGCTAATATTATGTAAAACCATGTCTGTGCAGTGGAGCGAATTATTTTGTCACGAGGGTCATGCCCAGAATTGCGGGTTTCCTGTCGAGAGACACTCCTTCTCCACCCCGGAAAAGTGTATGACGCGGGAGAGCTGCACAGTTAGGCCTTGAGAGCGCGGAGAGCTACACCTTTCACTCCTTGCGAGTTCTGAGACGGGGCGCCTCAGGAGAAGGTAAGAAGTTTGTATGAAAACACGCGCTACGCAGACTCGGACGATGTTAATGTCACAGAAAAGATTTGAACCTTTTGGCTTTGCTTTTTTTTAACGGAGATTTTTAAAAAATTGTGTTGGATCTCTTATTTGTATGTCGTTATATTTCTGGGTTTGGTGTGTGTATGTTTTAAATACTTGATTTCGCTTTGATGTTTTACTTTGTTCAATTAAAAACTTTACCCACTAGAACATCCCCAACCCCACCCAAGCTTCCCTCACTTAACCCATTTTTTGGCACAAATATGTTTTGATAAGCACAAAGCAAATAGATAATACAGCAATGAGCCATTCCCATTTTTTGGACAAAAAATGCAATAAACAATAACCGAAGCATAAACATAAACACCTACATTCAAATATTGTAAACCAAGCACGTTCACTTTAAAACTCAAGATGTCTTAAGTAATACGTACAAAATCAAACCCCTTATAGAACTGTCAAAAATTCATTACGAAACACCTACTCAATCATCAAATATTGATTCCCTGTTGCACAATGACTTGTATCACTTTGTCTCAACAGGTCGGTATTTTGAAAACACATGTTTGCTGTATTCTTGTAAATTCCTAAGTAAATACTGATTTTTTAAAATAAATTCCAGGGAGTGGTTTATGCAGATTCTAGTTTTTTAATCGTGCACAAAAAAGTGTTCACAATAAAATAGATCTTTTTGTAACAATAAATGGTTTGATATTTTTTCACTCCGTTTTATTTTATTTTAACTTATTTTTTCATCTTATTGTTTTTATATATTTGTAAAAATTTTTAACTTTTTTGTTGAAAATAACAAAACTAAAATTTCATTTTTTTTAAAAATTAAATGTAAAAACAGCACTAGTACAAGCGCATCGCTCTGAACAGGAGTGGGTTACATTGTATATTAATTGTTTGTCAGCAATATAACATTCAAATTGAGACTGCGCTTTTGACATACATGTCCATCTCTGGTTCATAAATGAAATACCTCTGGTAGGGAGATGAGACGCATTTTTGTATCGGATGCCAGGCCAAATGTACTAGCAGTCACATACTTATAGAGTGTTCAGACTTTGAGAGACCCGAAGGAAATAAACGATAAATGGAGGTAAGAGAATGCTCTTTTGGGTACTTCTGTATCACAGTAGCCTGTGCCCTTGATCCGTCTTTCAAAAGTTTGAGGTTCGAATCTTACTGCATCTTGAATGATTTATTCATTCTTTGTCATGTAATCATTTCATCGAGTCCCAGAGTCCAGACAGCAGGCTATCAGATTGAGTTACATAGTATTTATACATAAGTCCTGAAAGAACAGGACTCATGCCTTTTTCTATATTCTCAACGCCTTGCTGCCATTAGAGAGTTTGCGGTCATTTGAAATCAAAATTCTAATTTGCATTACTCTTTCAGTTTTAAAAAAAATTAACAAGCCAAATATCAGCGCAGTCAAGTGCCACAGATCTTGATTTGAATCTTTTCTTGAGCGGATAAGAGATACCCGACAGTATAACTTCCAGAATCCGGAATCGAACTCAAGTCCTCTGTGTGCGATGATGAAAGACCTATCCCTTACACCACAGACGCCAGGCGTCTCTTGTTGGTAGGAAAAAACAATTTAAAAAATGAAAAGTAGGAAAATAAGAGCAGCTCCACTTAGAGCCCTCAATAAGAAATCGGAATTGGGCACTTTGGAAACATTGAAAAGTGTTTAATCATGCATGAATATGATAAATTCATCAATATTAGTTTTCTGCTTCTGCTGCTATCGATCCAGCAATGAAGGCACGGGCTTTTGCTCCTTACCCTAATGCCAGACTGCAATCAATTCTGGTCACACAGAACAATGTGAACGACATTTTGATGCACCATGTCTTTGGCTCCTAACATCAACTTGAAACTTTATATGCCACACTTTTTGGATTATGGGGAAATAGATTTGAAGAAATGTATGCCCCTGTCTGCGGGCCTAACATTAATTATTAAAAAATTGTTAATGATCTTGCAATAAATGATAAGCATGTGTTTTAAAGTGTTGTTTGGATAAAATATTTTCACTTTGCTAATGTTATCACTTTGTATTTATGTCCAAAGTGATTTGGAATGATTTCAGAATTTCTTTGGTTCAAAATTTCTGAACAAATATCTTATAGGGAAAAGTGAATCAAACTAGTTAATACTGTTTTAAAAGGCCACTTTAGTTGCTTACAAATTTTAAAAAACAACAACTAGGAAAGACAAATGTAGCATTTGGCGGATCCTTAAGTCGACATAAATGCCTGGAATATTTTGCTCTAACTGGGACAATAGAAGGCAAACGATGTAGGGACAGGCCCAGGGTAACACCCCTGGAAACCGTAATAGATGGGTGACGGTGAAAAAGCAGGACATGTCTTAGTTTTTATAGAGAATATGAGCAGGGAGGTGAATGGCGAATCGTGATCGTCGATGTTTGATTCAGATTTAGCACCTCATGATGATGAAGACCCTTTTGAGGATACATTATAATAATGATGGCACATGTGTCTTGCCGTAAGGCTTTCCGCTCGGTCCGAATTTTAAAAAGACAATTATATTGCCATTGGCATCTATGTTAACACTAAAGACTGAATCAACTTTGAAAAAAAGAGGAAATAAGGACGCACTCATGTACCCAAGCTTTAACGAACGATTTCATGCATTATGCAAAGCATGCACAGGTAAGGTATGGAAAAGCAAACATGAATGTGCATGTTGGGAGGAGATTCTAAAGAAACGGCATGCTTTCACAAGGCTCGAGGAGATGCTTGGGAATGTCTGAAAAGACAGTACAAACTTTCAAATTCAACGCTCTGAAAATAGAATGGACACGTCTCTTAAGGTACCGGCCTGAAAAAAAAACCTTTAAGGGGAAGAAAGGTCAAAGAAAATCCGAACACCGCTTGAAATCAAATTCAATACATATGTGTTTGCTCTCCCAATTACACAAAGAGCTAGCGGTCTGTGAAAGGTGAGAAAAAGAAACTAAACACAAAAGCGTTGATATCACAGAAAGGCATGTTTTAATGAGAACATTTTCTTCAGATCAAAGAAAAGCAGTTATGGCATATTATTAGAGTTAAGTGAACTTTGCAGAGTTTTACACCTTTATAAAGAAGTGGTCATCTCTCACATGACATACACGTACGCTACTTATGAATGAGTGACTTCAGCAAGTAGGTAGACTCAATATTCTACACTATTTTCTAAAATTATATTTTTTTCAATTTCAACATCGTCAGTAAATATAATAGGCACCAAGTGGGCAAAATTCAATCGATAAGTTACTGTTTCTGAATATTCCTTTTGTAAAAGGTAAAGAATAATAACTTAATCTATCAAATATGTTTTGGCTTGTTACCTAGATAAAGCATGATTAATAGATTATTCAATTTCCTCTTGGCTCATTGTACACTCAAAGTTCTAAAGTGTTGTTCCTTTGATGCAATACTAATTGTGGGAATTAGGCATAATATGTGTAGATAAAAAGTAAGTTTTGCAAGACGAATTTTCTATATTGCCGTAAAGCCATCCTTGTCCTTGAGAAGTCTTGTAACATAAATTGTGGGATATAAAATAATTTTCTTCTTAATTAATGAAACTATTAAAAAAGTAATTAAAAAACGCGTGTAATATTGTGAAGGAATTGCTGAAGTCACGTGTAGAGAAACAAGGAGCCCCATGCCAGACATAAAGTTTTTTAACAAAACCGTATGACTACACTTATTATGTTTATTTATTGATTGCAATGTGTTGTAAGCGATTTTTAGGTACGTTTCTTTACGGTGCTTGCAATTGCATAAGGTCAAATGCTTCTATCTGATCAATCATGATTATATTTACCAAGACGAATGTCAGGAAACGGCGAGACTTAATAAAAGAGAATCCTACTTCAGAAAAAACTCACTTCCTCTGCGCACGAAGTTAAGCTTCGCGTACACATGCATAATCGTACATCTTCGCACGGTTGCGAGTAAGTAAGTAAAGCAAGTTACTCCCTTTTGTCTCTCATCACTGCTAAGTGACGTCACGCTTCGCAGTCGTGTGGCACATGGAAATGCTTTTTGTGTGAGCGGGGAATTAGCCGCCCAATAATTAAAGCGAGCACGCTAGTTTTTTTTAGGACAAAGGAGAATAGTTCAATATCAAGGCCAAAAATCAAGATTTAACTTAAATTTTGCCAACTGGCCAATCTTACACATAACTGTTTCGAACAGAAGACGGTCGGTTTTTTTTTTTTTTTAATGAATTTTTGTTTTTATTTCCTTTGCGATAAAAGTGGCTTACCTAAGATCATCGTAATTTAAGGACGCTGTGGCTAGAATGCCTGTATTGCATTATGTAAGCGCAAACTCGTGTCTGCTCCTCATCAATGTTCAGGTACAATGGAAGTCGTTTAATGTATACGCAACATTCAAATGGAAAATCCGATTTGTTTTGTCTTTATAAAAAAATATTAAGTGAACGATTGCTCCATGTGCTCTGGGTAGGAAAAAAAAACCTGGAAACTCTGTCTAGCAATACCCCGTCCCTTAACATCTCGCCAAAATTATCTACCTGCACAAACCCGGTCACAAGCGAGGTAGTCTACCCTGTCTGGCACGAACGACAAACGCACTGTCTCAGACTGAAGAGCTCCCATTTTCTTCCCTAGATTTCAAACCTTGGGCTGGAGTAACTCATCAGTTCATCTGTGAAACTTGCGTGAAGAGCTAGAAGGACATCAGCCAGCGGAATGAACGGCGGAGACAACAAAGCATACGCCAGTGATGGCCCCGGAGATCCCACTCGACATACAACGTTTGCAGTTTCAGAGAACGACATCACGTAAGATAAGAAAAGATAAGATACGAGTAGGATAAGATTAGATAATAATAATAATGAATAATGGATTGCATTTATATAGCGCATATACACTTATGCAATGCTCTATGCGCTTAACATGATACATATAATGGATTTACAAATCAATTTTAAAGGTACATAGTGTTACATACTCATGCAAACACATATTCACTCACGCACGCACCACACACACATACATACTCACATATACACATACGTACATATTATGCACACACGCACATACAAACTCACAACGATCTACAGCTTGGATGCATTCTGTCTAATCGAAATATGATGAAAATATAAATTATTTTAGTTTCTTCTTAAAAATTTCTAGATTTTCTGCTTCTCTGATAGTTTTTGGAAGCCTATTCCAAACAAGTGGGGCAAAATATGAATAAGAGCGTTGGCCATATGATTTGTAATTTATTTTAGGCTTAACAAGGGTTGTTTTGTCACTTGATGATCTGAGCGTTCTAAGAGGCACATAGGGTGTTAAAAGCTGTTTTAGATAGTCCGGTGATAAATCATTTAAGCACTTGTAGCAAGTTAAACAGATTTTTATATATGATACGCTCTTTCACTGGGAGCCAGTGTAATGCTTTTAAAATAGGAGTCACATGATCATGCTTTAGTTTTTTAGTAATTGTTTTGGCAGCAATATTTTGTACTCTTTGTAGTTGTTGTAACTGTTCATCCGGTACACCAGCCAGTAAGGAATTGCAATAACCAATCCTTGACAATATAAGTGATGTTATTAAAGTTTTGGTGACACCAACAGATAGATATTTTCTAATGCTCCCTATTTTCTTCAGCTGGATATATAGATTTTTACAAAGATTGGATACATGGTATTTCATTGACAAATCTTGATCTAGCACCACACCTAAATTTCTTATTTTAGT